TTTAGAAGTTACAGATGCGTTCACTTGACGCTCACAAACTACGCCGACTCGGCGGTTAAATAAAAATAAGAAAGTACAACTAAAAATGAATAAATAACAAGTCACTACCTACGAGGCTCTATAAACGCGACTAACTTAACCGCGTTCTAAGATACAGCTGAGATTTCAGCAAACTTTCTGAATAAAGTTAGTTGAAAGATTCAACTAACTGCCGAAGTAGGCACACAGGCTGAAACGCGCGGTTCTTAAATTTCTACCTAGCAACCTTCACGCTCGTGAATCAAGAAAGCACACCTACAAACTCGTTTCCCTTCTACTTAACTCAAATTACTTCTGCTAAAAATTTGAATACTTAGCGCGTTTTACTAAAATTTACATACTCTGGCATTGGCAATTCCAGGGGAAAGTAAGACTTGACAGGAAAGATAGCTTAAAATAAATGTTAGTTAAAATAAATATAAACCCTACAATACTTTCACTCAGCAAGTGTTATTGAAACATAACACATTTCTCGGTGAAGTAAACCATTGAGTCGATATTATTTGTGATTTTAATATTATGCCAGTATTATCATAATAGCATTATAATAACGTTAGTTAAAATAGCTTTCTTTCACAACTGTTTTTATAATTGAAAAAGAATCTAAGAAATCACTGAAGAATTTGTATGTTTTCTTGTAAGAAACTTTAAACATTCAAACGCATCAAAAGGTTCTTCAGAAAAATAAAAAGAGCTTTAAAAACAAAAATTGTGAATAACTCTAAAAACGCTTAAGAAACCTATTAGTATGCGAAACATGTAAAATAAAATGAACAGGAAAAACTAAGAAAGTTAAAGCACATAAATAAATAAAGGTAGCTTAGAAGAACTATTCCAAAGATAGACATAATTTCTCCCGCTCTCCCAGAAGGGACGGATTTTTTTTCGGATAATGTGAAAGACGTCATTTGTACAAATGGAGAAAATGCTGCGACTGCAGAAAAATCTGAGTAGTTTTGGAAGATGTAACAGAAAGAAATTTCTTTATGGTACAGGAACTTAAACACGTCCTCTGCGACAACAGACCCAAGATAAAGATGTCAGTTTATCTCACTTTTTGGAAACAAATGTTAGCCTTCTTATTTGTGATTTCACAGTCATTCAGTTTGATTTTGCTACAATTTATATTCTATACTACGTGTGCTGAAAGGGTTGCCGTGTTTTTGAAGACGTTGAATATTTTGACATCGTTTAGAGAAAAGAGTTAAATTTATACTTTGTATAAATGAAGACGTTTAAAACGCATGTAATATTGCTGTCAGCATATAACAAAGTTATTTCAAAAAGTACTAGAAACTCAAAACACACAGGACAAAAAGCAGAAAAAAAATTACTTCGGATTCTAGTAAGTTGCCTGATACCTGATACGTTTACCTGATAAGTCAGGATACTACGTTTATACATGAGAGAACGTAGGATATACCTACGTACTCTCAGGTATAAAATTCGGCATGCTAATTTTGGGAACGAAATTTATGCAGTATGCTGTAATACAATCGAAATGAATATTACTTTTTAGCCCGAAGGGGCGGTAGCCTAGAAGAGCTATTAGTCACAAAACAAAATTTTGTGGCGTTTCAATATAAATGGCGAATCACTTTTTAAATTGTTACCAAAAATATTATCGCCCTATATTATATTTAAAGAAATTAAATAATGAAGCATCTGCATATATATGTTTCTCGCATTGTGATAAAACAACAGTAGCTAGAGCCATCAAATTTTGAATAACATCATACTCCACCGAATATGGCATCTGGAAGCCCTAATTTGGAATTTGTTTTATTATCGATTTCATATTTTGTAAAACTTTAACGAATTTTTATCGACAAACTCAACGATTTCAAAGCGAGCAACGGAAACACTGTACGGAAAAAAACATTTTTATCCCCAGAGCGCGAAAACTGTCTATCGGAAATTCGAAAGATAGGCTTTTTAAAAATATTTCGTGATATTACTGTTCAACTGAATTTTACGTGGTTTAAGTGCGAAAAACATGATATTTAATCAATAAAGGTAGCACATGAAACGTTGAAAAAGGCGTAATATAAATTCCTTTGTGCGTAATATAAAATCTGAAGGCTTTCAGATATTTAGTCCAAAGGGGCTTTGTCCCTGAAGGACTATTGTTTTCGTTTTGCGATTTTGCGTTGGTTCGCTATAAATGTCCGTTTCACTTTTCAAACTGTTGCCACCAAATGTTAGAGTTCTGCATTATATTTGAAGAAATTACATGATGAAAAATCTACATAAATGTGTGTATATTTCTCGCATTGTGATAAAACAATGGTGCATAAAGGCATCGAATTTTGAATGACGTAATCCTACTGCGAGTATGGACATGTGGAAGCCCGAATTTGAAATTTGGAATTTGTTTTATTATCGATTTCATATTTTGTCAGACATTAAAGAATTTTTGATTAACAAACTCAAGGATTTCAAAGCGAGGAATGGCAACAGAGTACGAAAAAAAAAAAAAAAAACATTTTTATCTCCAGTGCGCGAGGCTGTGTGTCGGAAATTCTAAAGATATGTTCATTTTAAAACTATTTTGCGATATAGCTCTTGAACTGAATTTTAAGGTTTAAGTGGGAAGAACGTGATATTTAATAATTAAGGTAACAGACAAAATGTTAAAAAGGGCCCCTTTGGACATAATTTAATAATAAGCGATTCCCGCTTATTCGAATTAATATGACTGAATGGTGAACGGATAACCGAAAAGGCCGGATAATACAAAAATAGTGTAGAATTATTTTTAAAACACATTCGATGAACAAGGAAGATTTCATTTCTAACTTGAAGAAATAAATAAATAAATAAAAGGGGGCATAAGTATTGCATTTCATTATCAGTACGTTTCACCTTGAACGTCCTTCCTTTGCAGTATCAGCAGACCACAACCTTTCTAGTTCACTTCGTTTTCGCTTTCAATCACCAACAGTTCCTTCTCGTGCATAAAAATCAACAGCAATTTTTTACACCCGAAAAACTTTTTTAATTCAAAGGTACTGTTTAAATTTAAGAACCGTTTGCTTCCGCTTTTCGATTGGTATTTTTTTAGAAAAAACACTGACTAAAATACGAACTGGTGAACAGACGTAACAAAACTAAGAAACAGTGGCATAAAAATAGCCTGAATAGCTAACGCATGTAGATTGCTTCAGTGGGTTTGCTGTGTTTTCATTGTGAAAGACCAAGGTTACTATTCTCAAAGCTGTGAATTACTTGGTAGCAACATGGTAATGTATTGCGAATAAAACAAAGAGTTTTGCAATAATAATAATAAAAAAATCTGATGTGTACACCACGTCACTTCCTTGTACGAAATATTAAATTATACACATTTTTTCTTGCATTTCATTTAAACTTATTGGATTGAATCAATCTACTTCGCCCGCAGCGCATAAACCACAATAGAATAAATGCATTCTTTAAAATTCACTCTAGTATTTGTTTACCATAGCGACACTCCGGCGCTAGATTCCCTTAGCAGTATTATATTTCGTTCATACTATAACTCATAATGCACAAAATTTATATCATTTAAAGAATAGAATTATCTAATCGTTGCCACATGTTCTATTCAAATACTATAATAAAGCTAGAACGATGTATAAAAGAAATTAAGCAAACAAAACAAAAAAGAAACAGTTTTTCACAGACGATTGAGTATTTCTCATTCAATTAATTCAGTTCTCACTTCGCGAGAAGGCAAAAATACATAAAAACTCAAAATAGTTGATAATTCTAAAAATATTGAATAAAGATTTACTAAAGGCATAAAAACCTTAACTGGAAGATAAAAACAACATTATTCCATCATTTTTAAAGCAAAAAATGTACAATTTACAAACATACAAAAGTAAAGAAACTGAGATCACTGAGCCGGGTAACAGAGTGGATATATATATAAATATATTTATATACGTTTGGTGCGGCCCATTGTAACCAAAATAAGAGGTGCACATCTACATGTTATAGCAGTCCTATATACAAGATTTCAACGTTCTGAGGCTACTCGTTTTTGAGTTATGCGAGATACGTACGTACGGACATACGTTCGTACAGACGCCACGAAAAATTCTCTTCAAAATTCATTTTAAAGTGGTTTTATAATTTTTTTGGAGGAAAAGAGTCTTTTATTCTGTCCTTACGTACAGATATCATGCAAAACCATCTTTAAATTGCATTCTACAGCGGTCAAAACGGATATTTTCGTTGAGATATGCTGCCTGAAACTTTTCGCGATTACAATACTTCCTTTTTACTTCGTACAAGGAAGTAAAAATCTGAAATGGTTCAGATTTCAACGGTCGTCCAAAGGGGTTTGATAAGGTTTTTTACGCTCTCGCTGTACTCGCAGTCTACCAGTCTGCTGTTACACACACTGTTGCAAACACTTTCTTTTGGCCCAAAGGGGCGGTAGTCCAGAAGGGCTATTATCTCAAAACCGCATTTTGTGGAGTTTCACTATAAACGGGAATTCCTTTTTAAATTGCTGCCACTAAATATTATCGCCCTGTATTATATTTAAAGAAATTCAGTATAATGAAGAATCTGCATGAATGTATGTATGTTTTACGTATTGTGAAGAAAAGACAGTACCTTAGAGCCGTACAATTTTGACTAACATAGTCCTCTACCCGAGCATGTGCACCTGGAAGCCCGAATTTTGAATTTCGAATTTGTTTTATTATCTATCTCATGTTTTGTAAAACATTAACGAATTTTTGATTAAAAAACTATTTTTCTGTTCTGTTAACATTTTGTAATCACTTATATTGACAGTTAAATATTAAATTTTCGAACTGATATTTGTCTAAAATAGTTCTAACACAGTTAGTGAATCATTAAATAACTTACTTTAGTTTAAATTGAAAGAAATTATTAATATTTTTCTTAACTTTCCAGAGAAATATTTCCAAGTAAAACAAACCTTCAGAATAAATAATGACAACTTAGTCTTTCACTTATTTATTAAATGTTTTTTCGACGCATAAATAGAAATACATATATTTGTGTGTAAATAATTATAAACGTCTTTTAGTTTTAACTACAGTTTGACGTTTGACGGCATTTCGATTTTGAGACATCTTGTAGAGTTGGAGAGAAATTATTACAAATTATCTTCATCACGGATTATAGATGCTCATCAGTTAATTGTGTTTTTTTCTAATTAATCTTCAACTGTGAAAAACAGCTGTTCCATTATAAATGCATTCCCGAACAAAGAGATTATTCTTAGCGTAAAAATGCATAGCTGAGCTTATTTATTTTTGACAATTGCGAAGGAAAATTAATAAAATCTGTATCTTCAAATCTTTGAGTAAGATTTGCAAAGGCTGTTCGTACAGTTTTTAGATGACTTTGCTTTGCTGTAAAAAATCGCCTGCTTGCAAAATTCTTTTTTAAATACAACTATGTTTTGAAAGCATAAATTTTCGTCTGCTACTTAACTTTGTTTTCATGTAAAATTACCCTTTTAAGGATGCAATGGACGGAAGGCTATGTTTGTGCTCTTTCCGAAGAAAATTATTCGTATATAGTTACTAAAAATGCTGTGAAAGCCATGATTTTTCTGTATCTAAGTCAACGATAGATAAGATTGTCAAGCATATCTCAGCTGAGACGTCTGAATGTCATTTCTATTCCTCCTTTCAACCCTTCCTCACATCATGGAATGTGCCAACAGGTAGTCATATGACTTTGTTTTTCTACTGGGTTTTCGCGGTACATAGCAGCTTCTTCGTAAAAGTTACGACACGCGCGAGGTCAAGGGTGAAAATTCGAAACGTATTTTTCTCAAATATTTTGTAATTTTGTGTTATTAACTGACATGTATTATTTTAATTTGTATAAATTCGACTTTACATCGAATGTAAATTTTACATCGGTTTTCATGGCAAAAGAACATGCGCAACTAAACGATTTTGCTCGTATTCTTCAAGAATTATCTGATGAAGAAAAAGAAGACAAGAAAACCTTTGGATGCGAGAATAGTAGCTATCTGAGTGAGAAAAATATAGAGATAAATAATATCAGCAGTAAATCTGAACAATATATTTCAGATGATGATTGTAATAATGATATAGGAAAATGGAAGGATGATGATACATTCTATGTTAGTAAGGATAAATCTTCTAAGTGGCAAAATCAGAAGTATGCAAACTGCTGTAAGATGAATAAGATGAATATTGTGAGCGTTACCTGGCCTAAAACACCATGCTAACGATATAAAGGATGGAGAACCTTCTGGAACGAATTCTTACAGGTTTAGTTCAGAATGTTCTCGAACACAAGCCGAAAGCTATATAAACCCTGCTGGTTCGCAGTCAGGAACATTTTTGAAAATAGTTGATATAAACATGCTTGATGAAATTTTGGAATATACAAATAAATATATAAGTTTACTAAAGGCAAAATACTCATAGAGACTGCACTGTTACCTGAGGGGAAATGATGGCCTACTTTGGATTGTTATATATCATAGGACTAAAGAAAGGACACCACATAAATGCAGAAGAATTGCTCTGACGGCACTGGAATTGAAATAACAAGAGCTGTGATGAGCTAAAGTCGTCTTCGATTCGATGATAAATCAACAGTACAGGACAGATGAATAAAACTAGCTTTGATTTTAAAACATACTTATTAAGTAATAAATTTTTAAATTTCTATAATAAAATACATCATTGCTTTTCCCCTGACCAATATAAGCGTTTAAAAATAATTTACTATCATTTGAATGTGTCATCATTTGTATTTTGCAATAATAAGGTAAATATTTTATGTTTTAACAAATTTATTATCAATATTCTCTCATTTATATCATTTTTTGTGCCAAAAAACAGTAAAAGGCACTGTTACCTGAGGGGAAATGATGGCCTACTTTGGATTGTTATATATCATAGGACTAAAGAAAGGACACCACATAAATGCAGAAGAATTGCTCTGACGGCACTGGAATTGAAATAACAAGAGCTGTGATGAGCTAAAGTCGTCTTCGATTCGATGATAAATCAACAGTACAGGACAGATGAAATAAAACTAGCTTTGATTTTAAAACATACTTATTAAGTAATATAAATTTTAAATTTCTATAATAAAATACATCATTGCTTTTCCCCTGACCAATATAAGCGTTTAAAAATAATTTACTATCATTTGAATGTGTCATCATTTGTATTTTGCAATAATAAGGTAAATATTTTATGTTTTAACAAATTTATTATCAATATTCTCTCATTTATATCATTTTTTGTGCCAAAAACGGTAAAATATCAGATGTCGTAAAAAATACGACGCGCGCGGGTTCATATAAAATTGCCAAGCGGGCGTGCTGGATGTTTAAAAGACAATTTGCGAACTCACAGGACACTTGCATAAACATTAAAATGCTCAGTGTCGACTGTAAACAAAGTGATTAATGCTGATTTGGAGCTTAACAGGGTGAATAAAACGTAATCGTCTTTCTCCAATCGACGAAAGAAGAACACGCTGTAGATAGAGTGCTCTATGAGAAGCAATTATTCGGATAAAAATGGGAAAATGTTGTCACAATAGAGGAGTCTTGAGTTTAAATGACCGTAATAGAAAGTGATCCATTTATTATCATCAAAGAGAAGAAAAAATCATAGAACGTGGTTCAAAGAATCTAAAGAAAGTTTTTCAAAGGGATTTAAGATTTCTTTTGTTTTTTGATATAACGACAAATACAAATTAAAGAGAGTGCATAAAACTGTTTAGGTCAACTCCATATATTACAAGGAGCAAATTTTATGCTCAATTGTCAAATATGAAATACCTTGTCTTTACCCACAGTGCCATCAATCAGTAGAACTACATCAAGACAAAGCAAGTAGACGCACGTCAAAATCTACTGTTACGAAATGTCCAGGAGTGGTGGGATAGCTTCCCCGCAAAGCAATTTTAGGGTTGCCATAAAATGGCAAAAGGAAGGCAGTGTTGCCATATTTGGTGAGAAATCTCCCATTTGGCGACAAAACTGACGATATGCCATGGTCGGATGGAGAACCTTCTGGAACGAATTCTTACAGGTTTAGTTCAGAATGTTCTCGAACACAAGCCGAAAGCTATATAAACCCTGCTGGTTCGCAGTCAATTAGTGTGTGTGCCTCATCTAGAGTGCGAGATAGTTGTGTCTCGTCTAGCGAGTCAGTCCGTGCGGAGTCGATCGAGTTAACAGCCGCGCAGCGAGTGCCGAGTGGTCGTCGACTGCATCGAAGAGTCTCTTAGTGTATCGTGGTTAGTGCATCGTCGACAGAGTGTGCTCAAGGAACGACTGAACCGAAGAGTCGGGAGCTGTGTTCTGTGTGTCTTCGAGTGCATAGCGAGTTGTAGCGTGAAGAGTATCGAGAGTACGTGGAGTTCCGAGAACGACCAAGCAGAGTCGGGAGCTGTACTCTGGGCTTTGTTGTGAAGCTGTCTCCAACGTGATAGCCTGATAACCTGGAGGCTGTGTCGCTGATCGTGTCAGCGCGTTTATAGTGGTTCATCGACGACTGTAAAAAGTGTTTTGGAGCTGTCCTGATTAATACTGGTAAATAAAGTGTGTTTCGATATTCCATCAAGTACTGTCGTCGTTATTCACGAACCCCGTATGAACGTGATGGAAGAAAAACGTAACACTAATGTTAATCTCTTGGGAAAAATGGAACAAGAAATGTGTATCAAGGCACCCTTCACATCCCTACTAAATCTCCTGATGTATCATCCAGGCATATTTGCGCATTTGGACTTTTAAAAAATGGATTGTCCAAACTTCAACCTACAACTCTCCTTGGACTTTGGAAATCTGTTCACGATGAATGGGATCAAATGCCTCTTGCACTACCGAGAAAAGTTTTATTTTGTTGGAAATTACGGTGTAGAAAGATAGCGAAGAATAGCGGTTATCAAATGGAACATTTAAAACACGAAAAGTTTAGGAAAAATATTTCTATAAATGCAATGAAAATCCTTTAAGAAGTGTGCGAATAATCTCCGTATATGAGAGTGTAAATTCGTTATCTCCATTTATAGATTTTTCTGATGCATTAATCCCGTTCATGTTTATAATGTAAATTTATATTTCAAATAATTAAAATCTTGAAATCTCTGTAACACTGTATTTGCAACAAAGACATAACTTAAATGTCCTTGAAGACAGCATAAAATAGCTTCAGGAGTCACCAGTTTAAGACCACTCCATTATTAGCACAATTTTAGGCATGGAATGAGATATCATGCATAGGACTGGATTCTGCTGAAGAGTATGTTGATTAGCGTATTTTTTCAGTGACTCTTAATTAGGTCTTAGCTTCAGTATCATAGAAAAAAGTTAGAGAATTTCAAAAGTTCTATCAATCATTTAAAATTTAGTGTCTAGTTTCTTTCCGGAGATTTAGCTGGAATGTATTCCTGAAGTTAAAGCAATAATTCATTCAACTGGCAATATAACTCAGGAAATTCAAGGAAGTCAGGTAGAAGATAGCGACATGGAAACTCTCTTTAGTCCTTTCTGTCCTTTATCGTTCTCAGGGAGAATCTATCGTTCTCTTCAAGGAAGATGAGTCCGCATTCGTTCTTTTCCGAAGTAGCTGAAAATGCTCGTTTACATCCTCCCCCTTTTCTCGATTTAGCTCCCGAAATAAATTATCTGTCTCCTCCTCGCCAGATAGAACAGCTCACCCAATCGATGACCTGCAATCCCTTCTTTCTCAAACGACTTTACGGAACATTCACCTTTCCATTTTATCAGCATCTGTTTGAAAGAAGAAATTGAATTTTGTAAATTTCTCACATTTTATTACATTATAGTTATCTCTTTCATAAATGAATATTGTCATGTTTGAGTGTATAAGTATATATATATAGCAGTGAATATTTTGCATGTTTGATCATACAGGAATTTCTATCTGGATTTTATGGAGTTTCATAAGCAATATTTGTAACATAAGCTATAACCGTTTTGAAACTTGTTTTGAAAATACTTCCACGCCAAATCTACACTTAAAAAATTCTTCTACATTTCTTCAAAGGGAAGTTAAAAAACAATCCAAAACACCGGATAACAAATATACCTCTTCAGGGAAATAAAAGTCTTAGTGTTTTAAACAGTAGCTCTTTTTCTTTATATATACTCTGATAATGCTACCTTTCCCATGTAGGTAATAAAATATAAATAAATGACTTAAACATTGCGCAAGAAAACAGGGGCAGTTCTATATCTCCCGTTCTACTGGGCCGATTGAAAAAATTCAACTTGCGTTTTTCATGTCTCGAAAGTGAGACTTAGGATATGTATTAGATTTTTATATAGCACTATTTTAATATAGATATTTTGACAAAAAATTGCCCTTTATCTGAAATAATGTGCCAATGTTTTCAAATGTTTCTACGACTTAAATTATGCCAAACTGCCAAGTTTTGTAAAAATCGTACGAGTAGTTTTTAAAAAATTAGCTCTTAAAATTTTAGCTCATTAATGTTAATTGAATTTGATATATATTTATTAATATCTCTTTTTTTTTATTGAACTTACTTGATTCCTCCTTCTAGAATTCGAACGTTAGGCTTAATCCAAGTATAATTCCCACTTTTTTATGATTTATTTCAAAAATTTGTATTTTAAAATATTTTTTATACATTTTTCGAAAAACATTTTGTATTATAACCTATAAAATTTTTAACATCATCTTAAGGTAGATGTATTTCTAAGCGCACCTGCGCAGAAAAATTAGAGTTTTTTATTCAAAAATATTTAAGATATATACGAATTTACATATTGGCGCTTTTTAAAATTTGGCATATATGTTATAAGCGATGACGCCAAAATGTGGTTTACGCATTTTGTTAAAATTGTTTGAAAGTATGAACGATGACTTTTTTGCTAGTGTACAATGAAAAAAAGGAAAAGGAAAATAGGTTGCTATAAATTAAGAAGTTCGCCAAGTGAATTATTCTCGGCGCAAACTGAAAAAAATACGCCAAGATAAATTTTTTAATTTCTCTGTAAATTTCGCTCCAAATTTCACAAAATTTAATATTTAGGCATAATCTGAGTCGTAGAATCGGTGTGGAAACAAACTGGCATGTCATTACAGAAAAAAGTCCGATTTTGTGTCAGAATACTTATGTTAGAACGATGCTATATATAAATCTAATATATATCCTAAATCGCCCTTTCGAGACATTAAAAACGCAATTGAATGTCGTCAATCGGCCCAGTAAAACGGGAGATATAGAACTGTCCCCCCTTTTTTTGCGCAGTTTACATGTATATAAAAAATATCTGTATATCTTAAAAAGACAACTATGCATTATAATTTCTTTTTCGTGCTTTGTTCTTACTTATTAAGATATCTGTAATTAAAACCACTCATTATGTCACTGATTACTGTTAAGTTTTTTGTTTACATTCGAGCGGTGTATGGGCCTACCAACGGCAGAACGGTAAAGTTGTTGAACACTGGGAAGCTCAGTTCGGGGTTCGAATCCCAGCGAATGAGCTAGTTGCATGAGCGTTTTCGTGGTTTCCCTCATGTGTAACGTGCATAACGTGCATAATATTCGGGTTCTTAATAAAAGGGTCTTTTACATCTTTCTTACTTCTCTGTTCGCATTCCAGACTTAGTGGTAATTCGTTTGTGTTTATTTAGAATCTTGACTTAGTGTACGTTACCAAAAAGAGTGATACTCTACACAGTAAATACGTATTAAAATGTTCAATGTCAAAATTGATAAACCCGGAGACATTTTCAGATATTACTGTAAGAACTGAAAGAAATATTTTGGATGCAATAATATTTATTTTGAAAAAAGAAGAAAGAAAGAAGGACCAGTTAATCAAAAGTTTATATTTAGAAGAACTGTTTACGAACAATAGGTTAAAAAATTAAGTGACGTTATCTGAATACGGCAAAGCACAAGAGGGTTATCTGTCTAAGGGAAAGGATGCCTTTGTGGAGACTTTTTTAATTATGTAAGCAAAAATACTAATTATAGATTATATTTATTAACTCTTATATTC